GAGGATCATTCCGGTTGAGAGACGGGGTCGAGGCAGGCGGTGGGGAATGGGCAAAGCGAAATTATTTGGTTGGGGAGTTGCGATCGTTATCTTCGTTGTTTTGATGATTGTAACTCCTTCGATTCCTCAGTCACAAGAGTACCACAACTTCGCAGATCAGCGCAAGCTCTTCTTAGGTATCGTTAAACCCTTTCATGTTGTCCTTGGTTCCGCCTATCGATTCGTATTCTGATCTAAGCTCCATTCTGTGTTGACTGCCGTGCAATTGCTCCGTTGCCGATGAACTTAAGGAGAAGTTTGGTTTTATTAAGAGATTGTCGGCCGGATAATGGCTCGTTTTTAATCTTATACTTTTTTTTTGAAAAGAATATGAATTTAAGATGAGAATGTGATGTGCTGTATTGTCCGGGCTATGGAGGAGAGTGTTTCCTAGATTTTTCGTTGATTTTTTTGAATAAATTTCTGGTTATTGTGGAATAAAGAAGAAGACTTTTAATGCTATGGCCGCACCTTAAATTCCAATGTTAACTTTCTTTGATTCACGCGTGATAGTTGAACTGAAGTTTTTGATAACTGTTTAGGACTGATTTTCTCTTTGTTCATTTTGAATTTTCTTCAACTGTTTTAGCAAAATTCTTCTTTTTAGGTCTAGAATGGCCAACACCAGCAATTGTAGTATACTTTCATTGCTTTGAGTTAAGAGATTACAGGATATTCACATTTTTATTGAATTAGAAACTTTAGACAGCAAATATTTTTCTTACATGGAAAATTTGCAAGTGAGAAAACAATGGGTTTGATGCTGATGAGGAACTTCTAGTATCAATTGAAAATTGCGCACATAAGTTTGCCTTCCTTTGAAACTTTGGGGGAATGTTAATATGATGTTGCATGCATGTCGATTGGCTTCATTTGGTGATGACAATGAACAAGGGCGCCTCTGATAACCAACAATATGTCATTGGAAAGCACCATTGGGCGACTCAAACGAGCAATAGAAAATCGTTTATTAGTGCTTCTTTGTGTTGGTGACAAGACACAATGAGAAGTTCACCTCTAGGAAGAGCTAACAAGTAGCGACATGTAGTTTTGTGGCATCTCTAGGTTGCAACATTAAGCAATAGTATATTGTTAGCGGACAGGACCACAATATGTGTTAAAGGGTCCATAACTTTCTCCTTGGCTATAAAGTTAAAGGATAACTTACCCCAAATGAATTGAATTGGGGTTCTATTATATTGAATTCGTTAGGGCCAATGTTTGTGGTTTCAAATTGAAACTTATCTAATATGGGTTAGGGCCAATTGGGGTATGTTTGTGGTTTCAAATTGAAACTTATCTAATATGGATGGATGGTGTAGACTCCAACTATTTCATTAAAAAAAACCACAAAAATTTAAAATAGATTGCTACCTAGATTGATTGTTCATATTCAAGCGAACTTGGATGGTGATAATCATTGATAGAAGCTACAATCAATGATTCATGAATAGTAATTTGTTGACAAGTTGGTGATGATGCCATGATTACAATAGTTGCTACAAATCCAAGTTTATGCTAAAATATTAATTTCATAAAGAAAACAAAAATTTATCGGAAAATTGTTGAGAAGGTTCAACATCTATATTCGAATATGACAAAAACAAATACATTGAAAGTATTATAAATTTGTTCTTCTCATTGAAAGAAAAATGTGGATTTGAATGATTCTCTAAGAAATGGAGTGTAGAGGGGCCAATAAGATGGTGGAGTCCCAGAACTTTGGAAAGTCATTGTCATCATTATCGTCTTCATAATTAGAAAATTTCTAACTCTTACGGATTCTTGTTACACATCCTCATTTTTCATCGTTCTTGTTGAGTGTTGTGCGGGGAGCTAGACTTACTGTTAGGTATGACTCATATATTAGATAAGGGACAAAATGCTGGAGTGGAGAGGAGCGGAGCTCGCTAGTGGAATGAAGTGGAAGCATTTGCTCAATCGGGGGAGTTTCGTTATGTGGGTTAGGGGTGCGGGGGCAACGACCCTGCGATACAGTACAAGAGTAATTTTGTAATTATATATTGCACGCCATGGTTATATATGTATGTTGTATTGTAACCCTAAGGGGATCTTGTACTCTTTTTCTGAATTGAAAGAAAAGTCGCTGCACTGCTCCCAAGGACGTAGATATCTTTGTTGAACCTCATTAAATCTCAGTGTTTCTTTCTAGATTTGTGTCGATTCTTGCATTTCTTTGCCCTAAAATTCTCAACAAGTGGTATTAGAGTGAGGTTCTAGGGCAGAAGAGATTGGCGCAGGAAGGGCAAAGAATGATTCAACGATTTGGCAGAAAAGTTTGGCTAGGGTTGGACGGTTCGGCACAGGAAGAGCACGTGAATTTTTGAATCGCGACATTCGGCGAATTCCGCAGAGGAGTTCAGCGAGGGCTCCATCGGTTTGTTACAGTAAGGTCAAAGATGAGGGCTTCGGACGACCAGGACGAGAGTTTTTGACGCAAGTTCGATTCGATGACCACACGATTGTTCGACGAAGAATTTTGTACGAAGAAATTTGGGCGAGCAATTTGATAACCGAGGTAGAGGAATGCACAGGAAAAGTTCACGGCAGGAGTAATTTCACATGACAATGTCCGGTGTAAAATTAGAAGTTGTGAAGTTTGATGGAACTGGTAACTTCAGATTGTGACAAACAAGAGTAAAAGATTTGTTGGCGCAACAAGAGATCTTGAAGGATTTTCGGGCAATAAAAACAAAAATCATGGAGGATGAAGATTGGGAAGAATTGCAACAACGAACGGTAGCAACCATACATTTATGTCTCGCAGATGTATCACGTAATAAATCTAAAATCTTCAGGAGAGGTATGAAAAAAATTGAAACTCAATTTATGTCTAAATCTCTAGCAAATAAATTGTATCTGAAACAAAAGCTATATGGGCTGAAGATACAAGAAGGCTCTGATCTAGTGCAGATGTGAATGTCTTCAATCAAATAACCACAGATTTATCACGACTTGATGTGAGTATTGAGGATGAAGACCGAACAATGATTCTGTTGTGTTCATTGCTTCCCTCTTATGAATAATTAATGACTACTTACATATGAGAAATAAACAATTAAAGTTGTTGAGATTACTTCAACATTATTGATTCACAACCAACAGAAGCATAATGTAGGGGAAAACTCTCATGGTGATAATTTATATGTTAAGGGTAATCAATATCGTGGAAGGAAAAAAAAGAATGAGGGTTCTGGAAGACGAAATTCTAGATCAAAGTTCAAAGACAGAAAGACGATTCATTGCTACAAGTGTAAGGAGCCGGGTCATATGAAGAGAGTTGTCCAAAACTCAAGAAACAGACTGATGAGAAACATGATGCTTCATCGAAGTCCGTAAATGTGGTTCAGAGTCACAATTCAGATTGCAGTGATTGTGATATGCTTTTAGTTTTATCAACTCAGTTCATGAATGTATGAATTTTTTATTCATGATGCTCTTATCACATAACACCTAACAGTGAATAGTTTACTTCATACATATTATCTAATTCTGGTTGCCTATTTAGGTAATGATTGATGTCGCAATATTGTTGGTATTGGTAAAATCAGGATTAAGATGTATAATGACACTATTAAAATATTATGTGATGTCAGACATATTCTAGATTTGGAGAAAAATTCAATTTTCTTAGGCACTTTACATAGAAATAGTTTTATTTCTAAAGTGGATGAGAATAGAGAAACCATCAAAATTGTTATGGGTGCACTGACTATGATGAAAAGAAAATTAACTGTAGGGAATATCCACAAACTGTTCGGGAGTACAGTTGTAGGTGAAGTTAATTCTGTGGAGTCAGATGATAATAATACAAAACTATGACACATGCGTCTTGATCATCTTAGTGAACGTGGGATGATAAAATTGCATAAAAGAAATTTTTTGCATGATGTTAAAAGCTGCAAGTTCGATTTTTGTAAGTTTTGTATTCTTGGAAAACATATTAGAGTCAGTTTCATGACTGAAAAACACAAAACTGAAGGGATTCTTGATTATGTACATTCTGATGTATGGGGGCCTTACCAGAGAATTATCATTGGGAGGATCTCTGTATTATGTTACTTTTATTGACAATTTTTCTAGAAAAGTTTGAGTGTATTTCTTAAAGCAAAAATCTGAAGTATTCTCCAAATTCAAGCTATAGAAAGATGGGATGGAAAACCAAACTGACAGAAAGATCAAACATTTGAGGTCTGATAATGACATAGAGTACACTGATTCACAGTTTCAAAAATTTTGTGAGGAGCATGAGATTCAGAGGTATTTTTTAGTTCGCAAGACACCACGACAAAATGACATTGCAGAAAGGATGAACAGGTCTGTAACTGAAAGAACAAGATGCTTGAGACTGAATGCAGGGTTTCCTAAATATTTTTGAACAGAGACTGTGAATATGACACGCTATCTCATCAATAGATCTCCTCGGGCATCATTGGGTAACAAGGTTGCAGAAGAAGTATAGACATGTAATTCAGTTAATTTTGATCACTTACAAATTTTTGGTTGTCCTGCTTATGTGTATGTACCCAGTGATGAAAGATCAAAACTTGATCCAAAATCCAAGAAATGCATCTTTCTGGGCTACAAAAAAGGTGTGAAAGTATACAAGTTTTGGGTATACAAGTTTTGGGATAGTTTTGGGATACGATTGCAAAGAAGATGATGATTAGTAGAGATATCGTTTTTTTATGAGCAGTCCATGTTACAACAAAATCAAAACAAGGTACCAGAAAATAGTTCCAGTTCAGATACAGTGTAGATGAATTTAGAACAACATTCAGAAATAATTGAGAGAGTTAAAGATTGAAATCCAACACCTTGTGATTCCAATACAAATAATTTGTAGAATTACAATCTAGCTAGAGACAGACAAAGACACACCAATATAAGGCCTCATAGCAGATTGAGCTATGAAGACTTGGTCTCCTGTGCACTTCTCATCGGTAGCGATGATCCAGTCACCTTTCAAGGAGCTATCACCAGTCAGGAGAAAGAGAAATGGATGAGTGCAATGATTGAGGAGATGAAGTCTTTAATGAAAAATCAAATCACACATAAGAGCTATTTCAGCTTCCTGAGGGAAGAAGACTATTGGGTGCAAATGAATGTACAAAAAGAAACCAGCAGTATCAGGAAAAGAAGGGAAAAAAATCAAGGCTCGATCAGTAACAAAGGGTTTTTCACAGTAGAAGAGGATAATTATGATGAAATATTTTCTCCTGTCGTTAGACATACTTCATTCAGGGCAGTGCTTGCATTAGTAGCTATTTGAGATTTGCATCTGAAGCAGATGAATGTTAAAACTGCATACTTACACGGTGATATGGAAGATCAAATTTACATGGAACAGCCAGAAATGTTCACTCAATCTGGATATGAGAATCTGGTTTGCAGATTAAAGAAATCGTTGTATAGGTTGAAACAGTCTCTAAGATAATGATACAAACGGTTCGACTTCTATATGATTCAGATTGGCTACAAGTGATGTGAGTATGATTGTTGTGTCTATGTTAAGAGTCTCGATGATAGTTCTATTATTTTTTTGTTACTATATGTTGACGATATCTTGATTGTTGCAAAGAATATGCATGACGTCCTTGGTTTGAAAATTTTATTGAGCCAAAAATTTGATATGAAAGTCTTGGGTCATACAAAGAAGATTATTGTAATGAAGATTCATCGGGATAGACACTCAAGACGACTGTGTTTATCTCAACGATGCTATGTTAAGAGGGTGCTAGACAGGTTTGAGATGTGCAAAGCAAAGTCTGTGAGCACTCTATTGACAAATTATTTTAAGTTTTCTTCAGAACAATGTTCGAATACAGATAAGAAAATCAAAGATATGACAAAAGTTCGATATGCCAGTGCAGTTGACTGCTTGATATATGCAATGATATGCACTCACCCTGATTTGACTTATGTTGTTAGTGAAGTTGCAAATACATGTCTAGACCTGAAGGCGATAGTGAGAAGCAGTCAAGTGAATTTTCAGGTATTTAAAGGGTACTGTAGGACATAAAATTATCTTGATATATGCAATGATATGCACTCACCCTGATTTGACTTATGTTGTTAGTGAAGTTGCAAATACATGTCTAGACCTGAAGGCGATAGTGAAAAGCAGTCAAGTGGATTTTCAGGTATTTAAAGGGTAGGATTCAGACTATGTAGCCGATTTGAATAACAGAAAGTTTACAACCGGGGTGTTTGCTCTTGGTGGAGGGTCGATATGTTATAAATCAACAGTTCAATCTATTGTGGCATTATCTACAACTAAAACTGAGTACATGCAGTAGCTGAAGCTGTTAAAGAAGCCTTATGACTTACTGGGCTAGTAAAAGAACTGGGTGTTGAATAAGGTGGAGTTCAGTTGCATTGTGATAGTCAAAGTGTTATTTATCTGGCTAAGAACCAGGTATACCATGCGAGAACTAAGCATATTGATGTAGGTATCACAAGATCAGAAAATTGATTGTTTCTGGTGAGATATTGTTGCAGAAAGTTCATACTAATGAGAATGCAGCTGATATGTTGACCAAGTCAGTTTGAACTTGTTGAATGTTTGCAGTTGCTAAAGAAGCATGGTGGCCCAACCCACTTCTGGTATGTAAAAAACACAGTTGCTAGAGAAACATGATGACCCCACCCACTTTAATTCATGTGAAACTCCCAGGTATCTTTCTCAAATGATTGGATATTCGCGAAGGTGGAGATTTGTTAGGCATGACTCATATACCAGATAAGGGACAAATGTTGGAGCAGAACGAAGTGGAGCTCACGAGCAGAGTGGAGCGGAATCATTTGTTCAATCGGCGGAGTTTCGTTATGTGGGTTGGGGGTGGAGGTGCAACGACCTCGCGGTATGGTACAAGGGTAATTTTGTAATTCTATATTATACGTCAGGGTTATATATATGTGTTGTATTGTAACCCTAATGGATCTTGTACTCTTTTTCTGAATTAAAAGGAAAAGTCGCCACTCTGCTCCTTAGGACGTAGGCATCTTTTCCGAACCTCGTTAAATCTCTGTGTTTCTTTCTGGATTTGTGTCGATTCTTGCATTTCTTTGCCTTATAATTCTCAGCACTTACTATTTGGGAAATTAATTGAATCAATTTGGGCTCATCCAAACTTTGGTTCAATTATTAGTTAAATATGGACCCATGTATTAATAAAAAAAAAGTTGACCGACACCCATGTAATGCTTTTTTGCAGCACCTCAAGTTTTAGCTTTATGTAAAAAAAAATTGAAAACTTACATTCATACCACTCAATTATTATGTATTTACATATCTAGCACCCTAAAATTCAAGTTTTACATATATGCCACCCAATATATGCATGAAAAGAAATATTTTACTTTTTAAAAGTTAAAGTAGTGGTATTTTGTATGTGATATGAATGATTGTGGTGGAATACATGTAAAAGTCAAAGTTTACTTTTTAGCAAAAGAATTGGGTGGTATATATTTAAACGCCCCCAAAACAATTTGCTTGATCAGATGATAATTTTGTCGTTAAAAATCCAGATTGAATCGTGATTGATTTATTATATTTATAGGAAGCATCACAACCTTTGTCTAATGCATTTATTATCTTCATTTTTATGCTACTCCAAAGTTCTGTAATACTTCATGTTCTAGCAATTAAATAGCTTGAGGAGTTTATTGAATATCGTGTCTTCTTCTTTGTTGATCTTTTACGGAAGTTCCTATCAGATATTTCAATGCTTCTATAAATGTTTGGTTGCAATATTATCACTTTTTTGCGATCCGTCATCTACTTTCTTGTTTTATGCAGGTATACCGAATACACTCAATGTTATATCCAACATCCCTTACCTTATAGTGGGTGTTGTTGGGCTTATACTTTGCTATTATGGAAATTACTTTAAATTGAGGTAATGGCTAGTTTTTCATATCTTATTGCTGATTTATATCTTGTTAAAATTAGCAAAATGTTTTTTTTGGGGGACATTTACATCTCTCACAATTCTAATTTATTTACATATCTCACATCTAAACTTTCATATTTATACACAGCACTCAATTCCTTGATATCACATTGAAAACATCACTATTGCCACATTTTAAAAGTGAAATAGACATTTTCATGATTAGTTTAAAGCATCAAAGTGCTATGTATGTAAATATGAAAGTTTAGGTGTGAGATATTTAAATACATAAGAATTGAGTGCTAGGTATGTAAGTGCTAGGTATGTAAATTGCTAGGTATGTAAATTTCTCTTTTTTTATTGTTTGCTTAATGCTCTATGATGATTTTCCAGCTTGGAAGGAGAGCTATGGGGTTGGTCATGCTTTTTCGTTGGTGTAGGTGCAGTTGCTTTTGGGTCCTCCTACTACCATGCAATGCCAAATGATGCTCGACTTATTTGGGATCGCTTACCTGTGAGTTCATGGATTCTTAATCTGTCCAATATACTGTTTTTATTGAATTAGGCCGTGAAAAAAAGTAATATAAAACCTTACTAAATAGCTATGCAAGCCACCTTGATCTAGTGATCGACAGCTTTGTCAACCAAGAGATCTTGGTTTAAGGCCTTGCATAGGTGGGATTCATGTATATTTACATATATAACACTTGAACTTTGATTTCTACATTTATACCACCTAAATCTTTCATATCACATGAAAAAGTCCATTTTAACTTTTAAAAGGTGAAGTATGACTTTTCATTCATAGGTAAGGTGGTATGTATGTAAAAATTGAAGTTTAGATGCTATATAAATATATAGGAATTGAGTGGTATATATGCAAATCTTTACGGATTATTTTATCCAAAGGGATTTATGATCACCATGGGACTGAAGCATTACAACATGTTCATTCTATGATGTTGTAAGATAGCTCTTGTGCTTGCATAATCATAAAACAACAATGAATAACACCCAGACTAAATAATAATAATGTCTAGAATAGTATGGCATTTCTCAGATTAATTTTTATTTATAATGCAGCGGCAAATCACAATCATGTGAATTCAAGTGTTATTTGTACAACTGAAGAATAAGAGTGTTCTTGAAATCTTGTTAAACAAATATATATACTAAATGCATAAATATTTGAGTAAAAAAGGTGCACAAATAGTAAGTGTGAGATTTTATATAAAGAACTTTGATTTTATTTTGGATCTTAATTTTTTCTCCTATTCAACATAGAATTGATCTCATATATTTATACATTTTTATAATACTTGTTATGTGTTATTTAGTTGGCCATTAAAAGTGAAATGGATTTGTCAAATATCAAAAGACGAGATTGGTGATTTAGAGGGTACGATCACATTGATTGTGTTAATGGTGGAGGTAATTTGTCTCTATGTATAGATGAAGACATTAAATAGTGTGGAATTTTATCTCTATTAGCTCGCCCAAACTACCCGACCATATGGGCCACATATGTTTAATTTGTGGAAGCTATTAGAGAGAGTTTCTTATTTTAGCTTTATTCTTTTTAATTGCTTTTTTATTATGTTATATGTCTTTTGTTTTGTATTTGGTAAGTTGTAATAGTATTAATTATGTTTAGCTTAGTTGTCCCCCATATAATTAGCATAAATGTTGTAATTTGAGTATGTGGGAATAAGAAAATAGAGTTTCTCCACCTTATTCATGCTATAAGAGCCTCGCATGACTAGTCGGTTCTGCTTCTTGGTTTAGCATTGTTTTCTACACTGCTCTTCTGCTTCATCAAATCGGCTTCATTTGTGTTATTAGGCTCAGGTTATCTACGATGTTCGACTCTGTCTGAGTCGTGATGCTTCATCTGACTGCACTGCTCACCTGGTTCGTATAAATCGACGTCGTCTACGTCTTTTGGCTTGCGTTATCTGTTTCATCTTTGTCTGAATCTTGCATCTTCTGTTTGAAGTAAGGAAATAAACACTAGCTCTCCGTTAACCGCTGGAGCTGCTTCAACTACCGTTTGATAGTTCTAATCCTCCATGTAGCCCTCGAAATCTCTTCAGTCGGCTTGCAGGCCCTCCTCTACTTCTTTCTGGCATCACCTCCTCTCAAGCACTAGCTTTATTCACTTTTGCAGCAATAACAACCTTATCCAACTCTAAATGTGCATAGAGTTTATGAAAAAGTACAAAATGAATATGTCTAGTTCTACTCTAGAGGTTAGTTTTGGATCAAAGATCATAAATTCTATCCAAACACCCCTGAATTCTCTACCTTTATTACAAACCGTTAACTTAATGACCGTGACTTTCTTCAATGATCTCAATCTGTGTTTATGTACATTTCTGGAAAAGGAAAAGAGGAACATCTCACTGGAGAGGACATTTTGAGCTCACTTATTTTAATCATCACTCATGAAAGATCCATGATCATATATCATGTCTTGTTTGATCAATTCTATGATGATAAAAGTAGGAGAAAATTTCTTGCTTTACAAAACAACTTGAGATTTGGGAAGTTGCTCTTGAGACTTATTCTAGTACCGAAAATAATGCATAATTATTTGAGATTGAGACTATTGTATGAGCTTTGACAAGAAGATTCGAGTGTTACTCAATACTTCAACATACTTTTAAGGTACTGGTTACAGTTAGATATGTATGATACATATTTATGGAAGTGTCTGTAAGATGCTATGATGTATAAAACAATAGTGAAGAAGAAGAGGATGATCAAGTTCTTATTGGACTAAATAAGAACTTGGATCATATAAAAGGGAGAATCATGGAGATGAAGCCTCTTTGTACCACTAGGGAAGCCTTTGCTGAAGTTAAAAGAGAAGGAAACTGGAAGAAGCTCATTGTGGTAGGAAGTTTGGGCTCATCTAGCACTGAAAACTTAGCTTTGTACACATACAACTTCTCCCATAATTTAAAGCCGTGAACATTGTAAGAAACTTGGTCACTAAAGGACAAGTACTAGAAATTACATGGAAAACATGTAGATTGAAAATCTGGATAAAGGGGGAAGGACCAAGACAACAAGGCCCATGTTGCTACCTCTTCTGAAGGGCTGGCCAACCCTAGTCCTTTCACCAAGGAACAGCTGGAAGTATTGAAGAAGCTTCTTACTACCACGACTGAGCAACCTACCAACTTGATGAGACACTAAGGTATCATTCCCTCCTATTGTACTAATAATGGAATATTTTGATCTTGGATAATAGTTTCGTCTGCATCTGATCACATGATTGAAGACATTCATGCTCTCACAAACTACCAAGAAATCACCACCTCATAATTTTTTAGACTTGCCGATGAATCTCACTCTAGAATTGTTGGGAAAGAAGAAGTGAAAGTTTCCAAAGATATTTAACTTTCTTCTATGCTATATATTCCCAAACTAGATTGCAACTTATTTTCAATTAACAAATTTACTCATGGCTTGAACTGTGTTATTAAATTCCATTCTAACTCATGTGAATTTCAGATGGTAGACTTTTAAATGGTGATTGACAGTGTTGAATCGCATCAATGTCTATATCTGCTCAATGAGAGCTACTCTTTTAACATTCAAGTGTTTTTCCCTCATTCTCTTCTCATGTTCCTGAGTCTGTTGAAAATCAAATTTTATCATGACATTATCGTCCGTGTTCTCCCAATTTTTATTATGTTACAACGTTGTACCCCATCTTTTTTAATAAAAAAGTAAAATTCTATCGATGTGAAAACTGCCAATCGATTAATCATATTCGTCATGTATATCATCTATCTTAGTATAAACTCGCATCATTTTTTTATTATTCACAATGATATTTTGAAACCATCAAAATTGAAATTTATCAGTGGAGCAGGTGGTTTGTCTCCTTCATTGATGATCACCCTAGAACAAGTTGTATATTTCTCCAGAGAGAGAAATATGAAGCTACACAAATATTTCAATATTTTCATGACATTATTTACTCACAATTCCAATGCAAAATTTAGATTATCAAAATTGATAATACAAATGAATACTTCAATTTGATCATTGGAACCTACCTTGCAAAGAATAATATAATCTTTGTGAATTCATTTGTTGAGACTCCACAACAAGATGAAATAGATGAGCGAGTATATATATCTCCTTGAGGTATATAAGTCTATAACACTTTCTCACAATGTTCCAAAAGATTTCTTGGGAAATATAATGCTCACAGCCACCTACCTCATTAATAGAATGCCAGGTAGGGTCCTTGGATTCAAAGCCCCTTTCATATTTAATTGGAAACATACTCTCATATTAGAGCTTTCTCATCCAATCTTCCTTTAAAAATATTTGACTATCTCTTTTGTTCACATTCACCATCCAAACCACACAACACTAAATAAAAAATCCATTAAATGTACCTTCATTGGTTATGCTTCTAATAAAAAGGAGTACAAGTATTATTCTTCCATTACTAAGGAATACTATAACTTCATTGATGTTACGTTCTTTGAAAAATAATTTCACCACCTCAAATATGAAATTCAGGGGGGAGTCTGGGTGAATATCAGGTTTGGGACACTACTATGGATACCCACAATAAAATAGAGTTAACATAACCTATTATACTTCCCTTTAGCCATGCTATGTCCCATGTCTAACTTGAGATTGACAACAATGAAATACACAAGGAACTTCACTTGTCTACTAGGAGAAAGAAATCTACTGAGTTGGATAAAGACAATATACAACCACAAGACTGTTCACAACCAAATTTGAATTCACACATCTCTGTAGTTTTAAGGGAGGTGATATGCAGTGGAGAAGACAATAAAATTTGCACAAATATTTCTATTCAGAAGTATGTTGCCTGTGGGAAGTTATTATCACTTTATAAAGCTCTTATATTTAATCTTGATAGTGTGCAAATACCAAAGTCTTTTCATGAAACAATTCATAATCTAGAATGAAAAAAAGGCACACTTGATCTAAATGACAGATTGACCTTTACAACACTTCCTCCATATAAAAGAACCGTTCGGTGCAAATGGGTGTTCAATGTCAGGTATAAAGCAGATGAGAGCATTGAGAGGTTCAAGTCTAGGTTGGTGGTCAAAATTTTCACTTGGCCTTATGCGATAGACTATCAAGAGATATTTACACCAATGGCCAAACTAAACACTGTAAAAATTCTTTTCTTGATAGTGAATAAAGAGTAGGAACTACATCAACTCGATATTAAGACTACATTTTTGAATGGATACATTGAGGAAGAAGTGTACATGGAGATCCCACCAGTGCTAAAAAAAGACTCAAATAAACATCTGGTTTGTAAACTAAAAAAGTCACTTCACGGCCTTAAACAATCTCCATTGGCTTGGTTTGATAAGTTTGTCAAAACTATAAAATCTAATGGGTACATCCAATTCCAAATAATCATACACTTTTTATAAAATATACACATGGAGGTAATAAAGTTATCTTGATAGGTGATGATGAAAAGTGATTGAGAAGATT